AAAATTGGATTAAAAAATTACACAAAAAAATGAGGAATTTCAAATAGTTAATTTGATACTAATAACGATATATTTTTGTCAAATTTTTATGATATCGTCAAACATATATTTTATTCAAAAATAAAAACATCATCGCTTTCTCAAAATCACATAAATTCATATTATAACATCGACTGAGATAAAGAATAAAATGAAATATTAAAAACACGATGTATCTCGCTGCATTGCGCGAGTACTCTTCTAGTATATATATATATATATATATATATATATATATATAATCAAATATTTTGTTAGAAGTCAACAATTATCTTAATTATGTTTTATATTTTAAATGATATATTCATCATTTATTTGATTATGTTTATCTGCAGTTAGTCATACAAATTCAAACATTAAACTTTAGTAAGTTGTACTTATGCAAAATTTATCTGTAATGTTTAATTTTAAGTAATATACATCAATAAACTGTATTTCATGCATAAAAAAAAAGTTTTTTAAGAGTTTTTGTTACAGCATATATATGTAATATAATAGAGCAACACCTAATCACGTGTTTTATGAATATTTAATTTTTAATCATATAATATCATATATTACTAGACTTGTTTAAAATAAAACTCGTTTATAAACAAAATATTGTTAAAACACTGATCCATGAAGTCAAACTAAACAGGTTGCGGATTCTTGTCTAGAACAAACAAGATATTAACGCAATGATCTTTAACCTATTAAACAATAATATGCATTTAGAAAATGCTACCAAAACTTTAAACAATTACGTAACATTATACGTTTTGAAGTTGTGATGTCATTAATTAATTAATGGTAGCCCAACGTTGTTACTTCCATCCTGGTTTTTCTATAATACGAAAAACACGATTACAAGCTTTAAGATACTCAATTGACAATAGTTGGCCAAATGTCACCATCCACAATAATGAAAACCAGACAATTTTCAAATCAAACGGTGCTTCATAAACAACATAAAAACAGTGAAAATGGTTGATAAGGAGGTTTGGCACGATGAAGATGCTGGCGAACATACTGATAGTGAATTTAAATTAGTCACTGCTTTTATTAGGTACGGATGTTCTTGGTTTCTTTGATTCCGTAACTTGTTTAACCCAGTTCAGAAAAAACAAAAACAATACAATGAAACGTAACTGAACTCAACCGAAATTAGAAAAATCAATCAAACGAGTACAACGTTGAATGTGGTTATCACGGGTATCGGGTGACGTGGATGTAGATTTAGGCATGTATTATGATCGGTTATATTTCACACCTTTAGACTAATGAAATTAGGTCACAAAGCAAGTATACAATACGACCCAACGTCGTCTTTCCAAGTAATAAAGTGGTACAAGTACCGGATTATCGTCCACAGAGATTGTAGCTAAAGTTAGATTAGAGTCCAATGAAATAGATGATTTCAGATGGCGATTTTGAAGACTTTTGATTGATTGTAAGGTGATCCAAAACAGAATACAAAATATATAAAAGAAGCAAGGGTGTAAGACTTAAGGTGAGAGCCAAACACAAATTCCAGCAGCCAATGCTGTAGCAATGCTACAACAAGCAGTGTTTCGAAACTAAGTTCCACCATCTATTTTGAAGGCATTCCTCTCGGACTTTACCATTTCACTATCTTGTAGCTTTCCACCCATATCTCTATGAGGTGTCTGGACCGGGGATAGTGACACGATGGTGTTTTCAAAATATATGGATAAACAAATCTCTTTGTTAAAAATCACTCTCTCGAGTCGATTCCCATATCATTCGAGTTGGCGTGTTCTTGATATTTCATCTCTGAATATATCACACTTTGACACTTTTGACAAGTGACCAACCCGTCGGGAGTTACGTTTTGAAAAACATAAATGACAAGTCTCCTTGTCGGCAACTTTCTCAAGTCTACCTCTTATGTCATCCAAGTTGACGTGCTTAATGATGGCTTATCTCAAAGTTCATCGCATTTTAACACTTTCAAGTGATCAACCCGTCAAGAAGTGTGCTTGGTTTTATAAAAACTCGAATGAAATAATGGAACGTCGTTTTCGAAAACACTTAGCTAATTTCGTTTGGTTTGAAAATCTCACATTTCCGTCTCACACCCAAGCTATAAAAGCTTAGCTACTCATAATGGAAAGTAAAAAATAAATGACGGAAAGTAAAGACATAAATGTAAATTGCGTAAAGTAAATAACGATAAAATAAATGACGGAAATATGAATGACGATAAAATAAATGACGGGAATGTAAATGACGATAATGTAAATAGCGGAAAATAAATGACGGAATGTAAATGACGATAAAATAAATAATGGAAAGTAAATAACGGGAAAATAAAAGACAATAAAGTAAATAAAGAAGAAGATGAAGATGAACTTGAAATCTTAAAGAACTTGAAGAACACCCTAGGAGAGGGTTTAAAGCAAAAGAAAGAAAATTTGGGAGAAAAGAGAAGGAAGATTATAGAGAATCCAATGGATGATGGATTAAAGTGTGTGAAATATGGTAACCTTAGCCTCCTATTTATACCCAAAATGGGCACTAAAAGACAAAAGAACAAAGCTTGGAGGCTAAGTTTACCAACACTAGTTACATTACAACAAAAGCTTAACTAAAAAGTACAACCCTTAACCAAAGTTCAACTAGAAAGTACAATAGCCTAACTAAATAGTACATAAGTTTAACTAAATAGTACAACTGATTTCTACTAAAAATCCAGCCATTTTACAGCTGTATTCCACCTTCAAAAAGCCAACGTCTTGCTCATTAAGCCCTCCAAAAAGTCGTGCAAGACCCAGGTCAACGCTGCACCAATGCTGTAGCATTTGCTGTTTTCACAAAAACTCTCAATTAGCTTCAATTTTGCATGCCATCAAGTCAACCACAAYATTTARCTTCATAATAACAAAAGTATAAAGAAATAAATGAAAATGACTCAAATTGGGAATGAAAAGAAATTAATGTAACTAAAAAGTCCTAAAAAGAGCGCGTTATGTGTTAAATTCTCAACACATATCATATTATCAAAAGTCTCGATATTTTTGATTTAACAGGGTATGGACAAAAGGTCAATCATTCAAGGGCCGATTATTGTATGGTCCAAGCTATTGGGCTTGATTCATTTAAGGATTTTAATGTTTTATATATGTGACCGAACAAGCAACTATCCATAAAAAGTAGGTCCATGAATGGTTAGGAAATGATTAAAGCACGATTTTGTGAAGGTCCAAACGCGGGGAGTTGCTTCTACCAAATAAATAGTTGACACACAAAACAAAACCGAGTCATGTCTAGACTGGCTAGGATTGTTGGTCACATATAGATCATGGTTTTCATTTCGAGTTTAATGACTGGTTAATGATCCAATAATAAATTTCCTAATCATAACCCTGGTTCAAAGACCGAGGACTGGTCTTTTGCACATGTATATGTTTAGTTTTTTAGTGGAGTTTGATCCAAAACCGAGGTATACAAAAGATATAGTTAGATCTCGACAAGCAAAATTGGATAGAAATCCGAAATTCAAAATTTAACATCCAAATTTAATGGCACAATCATTGGACGATCGCCCATAATCCAATAACATCGAACCGAACCGACCCAATCACCATTTAACCAATAAAAAACTTCATGTTTTTTGGTTTTGGTCCGTGGTTGTTTATTGCAAATTAACCATAAGAGTTTATAGTTTTTACTTGGTTTTAGTTGTATCATATCAAATATTAACTTTCATCTGTTAGATAAAGGGGTATTTTGGTCATTTTTCATGATCCCTTAATTACTACGGAGAATCCCTCAATGCATTATATGATTATAAGGACTGTCTTGCAAATTCGGTTTTCTTAGGGACCAAAAATGCATATAAACAAAAAGTTTAGGGACTACTATACCTTAGATAAACAATGACGAAATCGTTTGTCAGACGTCAAAGAGTCAATTTTCATTTCTCCCAAATTTCCCTCCTATTTCCAGCGACAAAAACAAAGGGGCCCTGAGTCAAGTGAGTCCACCATCGGCGGCTACCAACAACTCACCCTAGCGACCGACGGTCAGGTTCAACCGGATAGAAAGATGGCGACACAAAAAGGAGACAGAAAGAATCTGTTAGCCATCACCGGAGCTGCAGCCTTCATAGCCGTCGCCGTCAAGTTCGTTATCGATGCTATTAACTCGAAGAAAAACCAACTCAAGAAGAAAGGTATCTTTCTCTATTCGTAACAAGAGTGTGTTGTATTTTTGTTTTGTTTTTATGATATCATTGGTTTCTTGTATCAATTCAACACGCAATCTACTCGATGTATTACTTTCCATCTGTAGTTCATCTACCTGCGTCGTTGTCATGTGGAAATTTAGTTGAATTTTGTTTAATTCAATGTTTGTAGATCTTCGAGGCTCCAATGTTAGGGCTAATCTTTCTGCATCAGAAATAGTTAAACTAGCTGACCGTTTAATTGCTAACTCGAAGGCGGTTCACGACACAGTAGCATCAGTGCCTCTTGATAAGGTATGTGTTATTTAAAGGGATCGCAAACTATCCCCAATGAATGAGTGGCAATGCCTTTAGTTTTCATTCCTTTTAGGCTTGTTCTTTATGAATTTTATGAGTTAATTGCAATCTGTACTATTAATGTTGTTTCTTTTAGTTGATACACGAGTAATTCCATTTACGTTGGCTACAGAAGGATAATTTGTTTGGATGTAAAGTGAGTATAAGATTTGTTTAGTCATACCAAACCAAACTACCAAAGGGCCTTTATATCCCACCCGGAGGCTGGGTCAGGTTTGGGGATGTATGCATTTCTATCACAAAAAGTAGAGCGGCTGTTTTGTTTAGACCCCCCACTCGTGCAAAATGTGCAACCAAAAAAAACTTGCTCAAAGAATGTGGAAATAGCAAATAAGAACATTTGGAAAAGAATAACTTGAAACAAGAAGGACGGTGCTCAAATATGAAAAATGAGTTAGAAAGGCAAACATTCAAATAGACAAACAAATAGAACCATGTACAAGATAACACAAGCAAGGTAAAAGAACTGCACACCCGTGGTCCAACCTATGGTCCAACCCTACCCCCACCCTCTACCTCTCTAGATCCCTTCCTCCCGCCTAGGCTAGCTCCACTAATCTCCACCCTAATTTACTACCCTAGTCCTATGTCTCCAGGAACTCTGATTGTTCAGTCATATATATGATTATTATGGTGGACTCCCATACATCCTGATTGTCTACTCTTGGCTATCATTTTTGTTTCGACTTGCAGGTCACATATACGAATGTTATACTACCACTTGAACAATTGGAAGCATACCAGTTCCCGCTCGTCCAGTCTTGTGTCTTCCCAAAATTTGTGTCTACTTCTGAAGAAATACGAAAAGCAAGTGCTGAAGCCGAAAGGAGAATAGATGCTCATGCCTCGGCCTGCAGGTTTTGCTTTCTTATCACTTTGTTGCATGCATACGTCTCCTTGCATTTTTGTACTCATGTGTACCATAGCGATTTAACACATGTTGGAGATAATCAGGGAAATGCAATGGTATAGCTATGCAAAATACAATCTATGGCACACTTATCTATCTAGTGGAAAAAAAGACATTAGGTAGTCACCAGCAACTTTCCATTAGCAACTAGCAAGTGCATGGTGTGCATGTTATATAACACCCTTTTCACAACAATTTCCTTTTCATTGACTGCTCCTGAATATTCGTGTACCCCCTATTTGCCTTTTGTCCCTTATATATTTATGTAGGTGTTTTGGTTCCTCATGGATGGGTGTGTGTTTGTATGTTGTGATGGAACTTTATGCTGAAAGGTATGTGATTGTTCTCCAAGGACAAATGGGAAATCATATTTCTTTTTTCAATTTTTAATAACTTGCATTGCTTGCACAATGATCAGAGTTCTCTGGCGATTAAGCCAAACGATCTCCTTCACTGATATCATGAACAAGTGCCGCACCCTACATCTGTAATGATCTGTGAAGGCACAAATGGCTTTTTTAGTCCGAAGAAAGAATTACATAATCTACCATCAGAATTAATAATTCACCTATTTTGTGAGCTTGGGCAAGTGTGATGGTTTGTAAAGCTCTTCCCAACATTCCAAGTAGTAAAAATTGTTGTGAGCGTGGGCAAGTATGTTGGCTTGTAAAGCACTTTTTAACATGCCATGTAGTTTAAAATAAGGCTTAGCTGGTGGAATTGAGTTTTTGCTTGGAAGTGCACACTAACAGGAGGAATTTATCATAAGCTTGTCATACATTACACAAATTATACATTCTTTTCTGTACTTGGACAAGAAATTGAGATGTTTGTTAACAGTTGTTATAAATATAAGTTTTCTTTCTAACCCTATTTTAATTGAAACTTTACAGTCAACGCGAAGATGTGTATCGTGTCGTGAAAGCATTTGCAGCAAAAGGGGAATGGACGAGCATGGAGTTAAAACGTTATACACAATTCCTGGTATGAATCAGAAGTCTTCTAGTAGTTTTCTACAGAAGTTTAATAAATTACATAGCTAAAATTGTTTCAATCTACTTCTGAATGCTAAAGAACTTCGGATGAAACATACCATGTAAATGTTTCATTACTTGAGGCATTTATGTGTTTCTGACTGGAATTTGGAAGCATCATGGCGTTCATATGATAATGGGACTTCTTAATGCTGTACTATCCGTATCATGAGTCCCTTTGGTCTTGGGTCCGTCGGTTTGCAGTTAGATTTCACTTTTATTTCATGGCTTTAACAATTCTATGTATAGACATGTTTCTAGTGCTGTACCCTATCTGCCATCTGGAGCTCTGCAGTATGTGATTTCATGTCATTTGAAATGGTAGCTATGAAGCTTTTTCATCTATAAGTCATGTAGCTTATCATTTGTGCCGTATACTCAAGCAGTTTGTTTTCTTTATTTCTGTATCATGTCAAATTTTCAATACAGAGCTGTTGATCTTGGGGGATATGAAACTTATAATATTCAATCAGGGCTTCCAGCTTGACATCTCTAGAAATATTAGTATTTGCCAGAAGTAGCTTCTTCAGTTTAACATTTTTTTGAATGACAATGACCTATTATTCTACTAATCTCTGCTTTCTGACACCATCCTGCAAGCGTGAATGTGTTTGGATATGCCAATTTTGAGATTTGGTTATATGGTATACATGTCTGTTTTGAGGAGCAACTTATTATAGTCATCAGTTTTTGGGTTCAAATGCTTATTGTTCTATATTCAGTGACAGGTTAGAGACTTTGAGCGTAATGGAATGAACCTCACATTAACAAAAAGAGAGGAGTTGCAGCGACTGAGGGCTCAAATTGATGAGCTTAGTATGCGATATATCCAGAATTTGAATGATGATAAGTCGTTTCTTCTCCTCGATCACTCAGAATTGCTTGGGTTGCCACTAGAGTTCCTTAAGGTTAGACATACATGTCTCCGTCATTCTGCTGTCATGCTCCAATGTGCATATGGGTTTTAGAGAAATAACTAATATCTTTCCTGTTTCACCATTGAGGTAGATTTAGAGCTGCTTATTTGTGAGAACATAAAAGGACTTCATCAATTGGTGTACATGAAAGTAGAAGACATCATTTGGCCTGTTAGTGCAATGCATATTTTTTGGCAAAAGCTCAGTGAACTTAAAAGACTGGAACTGAGCCCAAATATGCAATGATGTTCTAACTGAAACGTAATGATCCAATGAAGTACAGTAATACGTCTGTTCTTATGTGAAACTTTTACACAATAAACCTGAGTTGGTATTTATGCTTCTCCAAAATGAACTTTTTATATTCCACCATCTGTTGCTCGTATCTTTGAGTAGCAAGTTGGTCCTCCTGCCAGCTATTATAGTGATCAATGTGCAAAAAAGGAAATCTTCGAGAATGTGATGTTCTACTCCATTAACTTATTGTTGATTCATTTTCAGAGCTTAGACAAGTCTGAGAATGATAAATACAAGATCAGTTTGAGAAGGCATCATGTTTCAGCAGTACTCGACCTATGTAAGGTGTGTTCTTTTGGAGTTTGTAAGGTTATTGCGCTTGTGTAATTTTTTTTCTATTTTGTATTTGCGACGTGGTTATACCATTTTCATTTATTTAGGGTAAATCAATTTTTGGTTTGTAAAGTATATCCCAACCATCAGGTTCCCCCCCCCCCCCCCCCAAATCTAATGTTTGCACAATGCTAATACGCTATTAATATATCCAGACAAGCGTAGTTCTTATTTCCAAATTGGTTAGCGTTGAGTCTCAATCTGGTCAAATAGAACACACATGGTGGGTTCTTGGGGGTAATTAGAGATATCATCGAAGAGACTAGAACACACATTTCTATTTAACAATGACTACTCCTTCCCTGCAACCACTTGACATTGAAACTGCTGCAAGATCAAGCAATCATGTTTGTTTCTGTCTCAGCCCTTTTATCCAGTCATTGCTGTCACCTGACATCTGGTACTTGCACCTTAAACCCAACATTTTTCATCATTGTCTTCCCAATAGTTTTTGTACTTAGATTGACCGCTTGACACCTATTAATTTCGTTGATGTTTGTTCCAAGTCATCTTCATGATTTCCCTTTCGTAAAATGACTAATTTTTTATGATGGTATCAAATTGTAAATCCAATTTTTTTTTATGTTCAATTCTCAATTTTGATTTCTTCTGGTCTTTATCATGATATTCCAAATATGTGATTTGGTTACTGGAGTTTTATTCTTTTTTATCTTCATTATATTTCAATGTATAGAAAGATTTCTGAGAAAAGAATGTGAACCAGGAGAAAATAGTTCGACACCTAGTCTTTTGCAAGGGAGAATATACTCACACAGTTCAAGGACTATGAGTATTGTTCCTTTATGGGGGGCAATTTAGCCATCATTGTATGTTCTCTAGACAATGAATGAGGTATGAAACTGTTGCTGCCATTCTATTTTGTTGATTTAGCTTTGGCGGATCTTCTGAAAACCTGTCATCCAACAAGTGCATGTTATTGATATCCACCATTATTGTAAATCATGCGAGATGACTTGCATTAACTGAAACATAGATGGCTACTTCACCATTGGCTTGCTTGGGCTTTCAAGTGTGAGAACTTGGTTGCTCACATAAGTGGATTTGTTGTAGTGAACTCGCATTAACAGTCAAATTCCTTATGCATCTTAACCTTATTTGATTGCTTTTGTTTAATTTTCTATATGTAAATTGATCCCTCGTATGTCACTCAAGGCTTGTGTTTCTTTCACTTTATCATCATCTTTCTTTTCTTAATTGTAGCTTTTGTTTCTTTTTGTGTTTTCTTCTTGTCATGCTTATTGTTTATAGGATAAAGTCTCTCTTCCAGTTAACAAAATGTGCTTATATTTTGTTTCACTTTGTTGAAGGTAGGATTGACCAGGAGGGTTGTTGCGGTGGCCTATGGAAGAAGATGTGAAGCCAATCTTCCCATATTAGAGAAATTGGTAATATTGAATTAAAAGCTGTCTGAGAAATTCTTGTGAGGTCACATACTCACATGTAATATGTTCGACTGCTAAGACAACTTGAATATTCTTGGCAAAACTTAACATGCACCAGTGAACTACTGAACTCAAAATTGTCACATCTAGATACGGTTTTATGCCTAAGGGGCCATTTACCAAACACTTACCCGGTAAGCACTTAGCGGTAAAATTCAACTCTATCACTTACTTACCGGGTAAGATTTTAGTTCACCAAAACGGCATCGTATGCAACAATTTACCCGGTAAGCGTAACTGTGGTATGAGTCGTCGCCCTCACTTACCGGGTAAGACTCTTGGTCCTTGCCTTCGTTCTTGGCCTTGCCATATTCATCTCGTTGCGGGACTTAACCCAACACCTTACGGCACCCACGAATGATATAAATACTACTGTTGCTTATATAATATATTGATCGCTGTAAATATGCAACTGAAACGAATTTTCTAGATTGAAGACCAGCCAAGACAAATAGCATGTCTATGTACATAATATTTTCAAGTAGCTTAGCTTCTTCACTCCCATATTGCTAGAAACCTGTTATACCCTGGAAGTCAATAAATAAAGAACAGGGACAGTTCGGTCATCCTGCAGGGATTAGTTAGTAAGCTAACAGGTTAGCGGAGTTGGATGGCGGCTATAAACAAAGAGTGGGGGTGGTTGTAAGGTTATCAACAGAATTGTAAACTTCTTTGTTATGTATTGGGAGAGACTCCAGCGTCTCAAAAGCTGGTAGAAACTGTAAGCAATTGTTTTGGAGCATAAGTTTGTGGAAGAATTGATAAAATACTTAGCTGTAAGTTGTATGGTCTTCATCAAAACCACATTGCATTATATAAGAAAGAAATAACCTTGTCCATGGTGGTGTAGAGTTAACAATACCAAGAAATTCATGCTGCTTAGAATTTCACAATATTAGGGGCTGAAGTCGGGAAACTTTGTGGAGGAGCAACAAAAAATAATCTACATAAATTTGCAACTTCGTCTGGCCAGATGAAGGAAATCGATAGATAAATTTGGTAATTTAGTGGGAAAAAAGTTGTATTTATTTTTAACGACAAACACATTTGGATCTCTTAGGAGCCAGGTATTAGTTTGTTTATATGTGCAGACTCATCAGTAAAAACAGTGTTGTGCAATACAGTGATGAATTTCTGGTCTGCTTGAATCTTCTTTGTTGGTATGTTGCTTTATTGCGCTGACCTTATCTTAAATCCTTTCAGGTTCAGTTGCGCCATAAATCTGCTAGATTACTTGGCTATACTAACTATGCTGATTTTGTTGTCGATCGTAGAATGGCAATGTCATCCTCAAAGGTTTGTGCAGGTTCTTATATCATTGTTTTTTGAAAGTAGTAAATTGTCAAGTTTTTCTCTTTTGAGTTCAATGATCTTTGATGAGACCGATACTAAATTTTCAGGTATTTGAGTTTCTAGAGGACATCTCTGCCAGTTTGAATGATTTGGCTTCTCGAGAACTTACCCTGCTAAAAGACGTAAAGGTTCTCTACGACATGCATTATTCATAGATTTAGATACTGTCATTTATTTCTTTGTATCTTATTTGAAAATGGTCAAATTTATTTTTGTTGATGATGTTTTCTGGCATTCAGAAGAAAGAGGAAGGAGAAATCCCCTTTGGGATTGAAGATCTACCGTATTATGTAAAGAAAGTTGAAGAAGAACAGTTCGATCTGGATTTTGAAGCTGTAAAGCAGTATTTTCCTGTTTCTTTGGTTCAATCAGGGATTTTCAAAGTATGCCAAGATGTTTTTGGTAATTAACTAAATTTTATGTTGAGAAACATTTAAGTTTTCCTATTTGTTTGAATCATCAAAATAATATTCAACTTGCACATTTCATTGCAGGCTTAAGATTTGAAAAAGTTGATGATGCGGAGGTCTGGCACAGTGATGTCCAGCTTTTTTCAGTTTTTGACTTGAATTCTACTGATTTACTCGGTTACTTCTACCTTGATATGTATACCAGGTGCATATGTGAATTGTTATCTGTTAATACTTGGCCATCAATCTATGAGTACAATCCTAGCATAAGATAGAACTTAGAAGACATGAAAGATAGGGTATTCTCATTTTGTTGTTTTTCCACTCTAACAGGGAAGGAAAATATGGTCAGACTTGTGTTGTCCCTCTCCAAAACAGCTCAGTAACCAATGGTTCAAGACAGGTATATGCATCTCCTTCTGGTAATTAGAATTTGCTTTTGAAATTTATAAACCTAGTGCCTACCAAATTTAAGATTGACATGAATTGCTTGTTAGTTTACTTCTAAAACGTTTCCAATTGTAATGAACTTTTGATTGTTTGACATTGGCATTCTTTTTACTTTCTGCAATCAAATTCCTATTAAGTTTTTATTTAGAAGGTAACCCATATGACACTCATAACTCAGAGGTGGAATGTGGACTCTTTTGTTGAGATGGGGTTACTATAATTACAATTATTAAGTTGTAAAAGTTACTTTTGGAGCTTTTGAGCACAGGAAGATTTATCTCAGAGTTCATTTAGCGAACAACTATATTAATTCCTAATTGCAACTCTGGCATGGATTCGCCAATTGACGAATCGGGTCACTGATCATTCGGGGGTTAACTACTTCATCTATGAAATTCATAGTAATAGAGATACATGTCCTACCAAGACACTTTTGGTCTTCTTTAAATTGATTCAATTGTGAAATAAAAAATCACGACGTATGTATCTAGAGAACAGTCGCTTCAAGCTCCTGAGGGTTGCTGGATATACTCCTACATAGACTCTCTCATTATGGTAGAAAAAATTGCAAGGGACTGCTTTGTGAAACATGATGGCAGAAAAGCTTCTCCATTGCCTCCCTGATTGGTTCTAAGTCATAAAATTGTTAATATAGCTATACTACTGCAATAACAGATGTTGTAACAAATGACCTTGCTACCGCTTCAGCGTGGATCTTGTCTTCTTCTAGTATTCATTGTCTATGGAGATGGGGTGGGGGACTGATGGCGCTGAGTGGGGTAGAATATGCAAGGGGGAAGGACCTTTGGCTTCTGTTACAAAATTGATTGATACCAAGTTCAAAGCCCAGGAAAGTCTCCAGACAGGCCAACAATGGAATTTACAACTAATTAATAATCTGTAATAGATATTCAATGGATTTTTATAATATCGAATTCAATTTTAAGACCACTTTTATGAAATATATAAATTTTAGATGTGATCAAACCATATAATCAGCTAGTTTTAAGATAAAAATAGAATTCTTTAGCCTAGACTGTTTTAGATGATTTTGTTCCTGGATGACGCCTTCAATGCAAGAGAAGTCATTTGTGCATGCTGTGCAATAGCTACTTTTTTGTGGGTATGGTCGTTTGTAGTGTAATATATTTTATGTTCACTTTCGTGTTGTAATAGCGACATGAATGATATGCTACATTATGTTCTAATAACACACTCATAGATATGCAGTATAGTAGACACATTATGGGCTAAGCCGCTTCCCTTTCTTTATGATAATGCATGTTTCATTAGGTCTTACTTATAGGTTCTGTTTCAGATTCCTGTGGCTTTGCTGGTAACCCAAATCAAAAAGGAAGTTGGTGGTGATCCTGTCTTGTTACGATTCTCTGAAGTGCTTAAATTTTTTCATGAGTTTGGCCATGTGGTATGTCAATTTCTACTTTGAAGTTTGGAGAAACTTATGCGACCTCAGTAATCATACTTTAATCCTTCTTTTTATGGATATATATATATATATATATATATATATATATATATATATATTCTCTTATATTTATTCTGCTGGATTACATGATCATAATCCAATCCTTGGGATGCATCTAGATATTCTTGTCTTTGTTTGAATTAGTTTACTTTAGATCTAGCATCTTACTTTGATGGCATCTGAGAGGGTAAGACTGCTTGTGGGCTGCATTAACTTTTTCATTCCATTTCCTTGATGATGTGTTTTTAGGTCCATTATATATGCAATCATGCATCATTTGCAAAATTCGGTGGATTGCAACTTGATCCTGACTTTGTGGAGATACCTGCCCAGGTGTTAGAAAATTGGTATGTTTGTGTTTCAATTTTTTTTAACTGTCAATTATGTATGTGGTAATCTAAAGTAATTTAGATTTGGAAACCTCTGATGAATAGGTGTTATGAAATGCCTTCCCTGAAGCTGATATCTGGTTTTCATCAGGTGATTTTTCTTTGATCACTATGCATCTGATTTTTGAGTTAATAAAATCCTGCAAACCTTTGTTACGTGGGTGTGCTACAAGAACCTTGTCGGTAGTTCCCTCGGCATTCCCCACAAGAAAGGGGGAAAACACAAAAGAATCCTGAAAATTCGTTTCCAAACCCGAATTTATTCAAGCATGTCTACTATTAGTTAGCAGCACCATATTTTAGATCGGGTGTGTACATTTTGTCTACTGATAAAAGAGTTATTTAAAGCTAGAATTTGTATGTTGAGCATATACTACCCCACCCTCTACTGTAAATTTATCAATTACAGTTAATCACTTGTAGGACATCACAAAGCCTATAAATGATGATGTATGCAAATCACTAAAGAGATGGCGCTGTTCCTTTTCGGCGCTTAAATTGAAGCAAGAAATTTTATACTGTAAGTTATCTCTCTTTAAGAAAGTTATTGGTATTATCCTTATCCCTTCCAAGAAAAAGAAAGGTAAAGATCCCACATAGAAGGATATTACAGGGTCCCATTTTTGTGGTCTGAAATGACTCTGATTCTGTTCCATGAGATATCCTCTCAATTGGTTTTAGGGGAAGGTCTCAAGTAGGATAGTCTGGCTAAGGAGCTGTTTGGTTGGTTTTTCATTTAAGTCCTGTATGGACAAAGCTGTCTGTGTGGTTTAATTTATCTGTATAGATTATGGTTTTTGTTTGGGAGGTTTTTTTTTTCATAGATGGAAGTAACATGTTTTGTAATTGGGAGCCACAGGTTTGGAAAAAACTTGGCTTTCTGCTTAAAGCTCCCCCTAGAAGCTTACTGAATAAGTTACTTTCTATATCATCAAGCCACTTACCAAACAGTTGTGTATAGTTGACTGAATAAGCTTTGAGTCCTATTAAGCTCATTAAGCTGCTAACAAACAGGTCCTAGATGTTTAGTTTGGATGGTTGAAATAAATTCCACAAATTTTAGGCAACCATCAAATATGACCATGAAACTAACCACTAATACTTTCTATATAATTAAACATGCGAGTTAGGAGACGTTCTCTCTTTGGGAAAGGAAAATGTGGTGAGTTTGGTGGTAATATTGGTGGTTCTCATTTTTACTTAGAACCACGTGAAGAAAACAGTAGGTGAAAATAGAACCAATATATAAAAGTGAGAAACAGAAATAAACAAGGCCACTTGGGAATCATTTAATGCAATGATGTGTTATATGGATATGGATATATATATATATATATATAGAGAGAGAGAGAGAGAGAGAGAGAGAGTCAGGTTCAGGGGAAAAACGTATTAATTTTAAATGAAGAACTGAGGAACATCCTGATAACCGTTCATATGGACTGTATCACCATATGCACATGTGCATACAAGTAGTTTGTAAGCAATTTGTCCGGTATGCACATGTGCGTGTTTTTTCTTGGTTTTTTTATGCACGTGTGCATGTTATGCACACATGTATAAAAACCAAGAACAAACTTTCAGTTACTTGTATTGACATGTGCAAACCATCCAGATGAATGATTATCAGGGTGTTTCTTAGTTTTTCACTTTTTTGGGGTTTTCCCCTAACCCTCCCTGTCTCTCTCTATATATGTTTCGTTCAACATGCATAATCTCATATACATAAGTACTTTGTTTATCGGTCCAAAAAAACTCAATAGATGTGTCTTTCAGGTCTCTTTGATCAGATTATTCATTCGACTGAAAACGTTGACATTGTTGGTTTATTTAAGCATCTCCATCCAAAGGTAATGTACGGTTTCTGTACTAGTGTGTTTGATTTAAAACGTAATCTCATCCACTATTTTTTTTATAAGTTTCTTTGTGTTTGCAGGTAATGTTAGGTTTACTGATGTTGGAAGGAACCAACCCAGCCTCTTGTTTTCCGAGTACTGCTATTGGCTGTGAAGCTGCTTGCTATAGTCATATTTGGAGTCAGGTTTGGAACTACGTCATTTAATCGTTTTTATATTCTTGGCCAGTATCATCTTCTATAAGTGTCATCCTTCTTAGGGTGCGTTTGGTGTCTAGACATGACAAAACAATTGTTCAACGTATGGTAAGACATGACGGGACAAGACATAATAGATGAAATGACCAATTTACCCCTAATGAGTTGTTTATATATTTTGATTAATTTATGTAATTTATTAAGTTATAATAAAATAAATATTTTTTTAACAAAATATATCATTGGAAAGTTTTTTGTCAAAACGATTAAAATGATACCAAAATAAAGAGTTTATGTAGTTTCTAATTTTTAATCGAAATATAAAAACCGTATGAAAATAATATTTTGAGGACAATAAAGTGAAAGTTTGAAGAGTATAAAATACAATAAATAAAATTTGAAGAATGAATAAACTGTAAAGAGGGAGGCGTATTTGATATTCTGGAAGAGAATTAGGTTTAATTTTGAGGTTATATTGGTAAAATATAGGTTTTTTTTCATCTTGTTCCACGGGGTGGGGGTGGAACACGCTGGTTCCACCCTTTTCTACATAAAAGTCCCGCCAAACGTGGAACATGATCCCTGTTCTGTTCTGTCCTGTCAGTGTACCAAACACACACCAATGGATCTAAAATGAGTACTGGTTTCACATGATTATGTTTGCTAATAATATATGGTGCATTTTTTATTTGTAACGTATGATATACCGACAATACATAAGTTTATACTAAGAATATATATTGTTACAGGTTTTTGCTGCTGATATATATGCATCAAAATTTCGTGATGATATTTTCAACCAGCATACTGGCATGCATTTCAGGAATAAGGTACGCACGCATGTTACGTTCCCTAACGAAAAAGAAAATTGCAAAAAAGAACAAGATAAACATAATAGGTCTGTGGATGGGATTCATCGGTGTTCTGATACTCCAATCGGAATATATTCTTTGCAAGCTGATGTACATATTCTTTGTGATTTTACATGTCTAGTACCCACTGGCCAGTCATGCGTTAAATCTAGTACCAGAGAATCTCATTCTGGCAGCATTAACTACTTGTACCTTATAAGTAACTTCAATAGTTTTTCTCTTTTAAGTCTAATATCTTACATATGCAGAACATGCACACATGCACTCAATACCTTTGGTGAGCTTGAACCAGGAGCGGACCCACTAATAATGATTTTGTAAAGATATTCATAGCTTCGGTTCTTATAGTTAAATGGTATCAATACTAGAAATTTTTTTTAGGTCCGCCTTTGCCTGTACCCTTGACCTCCAAGGAGGTTGGGCTCTACCAGTAACCCAAATACCGTTGGGCCATTGACATTTAGGGATTGTTTGGTTGGTTTTTGATCAAGTTCTGTATGGATAAAGTTGTCAGTGTAAATTAATTTGTCTGTATGAATTGGGAAGGTTTTGTTTGGGAGAGCTTTTTCACAGATGAGAGAAGCGTGTTTTTTAATTAGAAGGAGAAAGTTTGGAAAAAAATCGCTTTTTGCATAAAGCTCCCTCTAGAAGCTTACCGAATAACTCATTTTCTATATCATGAAGCCACCACCAAACAATCATAAATAGCCGACCGAATAAGCTGTGAGTCCCATTAAGCTCATTAAACCGCTAACAAACATGCCATTAGCTGGGTGTGTTATTATAAATTCTAACATATCCCTAAGATTGCTTATTTGTGCACAGAGATCTTGAACTGCTACTGATGAAATATATTGACCTTCATGGAAAATTTTCTTCGATCAACAGGTTTTGGCACCTGGAGGATCAAAGGAACCTATTGAACTCCTGTCAGATTTTCTTGGAAGGGAACCCTCGGTCCAAGCGTTCGTTGATAGCAAATCCGAAACTTTTAATGATGCATCTTTTGGATGAAAATGACGTGTTTGCCCCTGCAGGTTTGTTCTCGTGTCACGTACACAAATTTTGGTTCCCAATTAAGAGATTTCATGTGCAATTTGCTTGTAAGTTTTTTAACCTTGTAGAGATTTTGCATTATATGTACGTAATACCAACCTTATTTGTAAGTAAATGGATCTTAGTAGCTATATATATATATATAGAGAGAGAGAGAGAGAGAGAGGGGGGGGGGGGGGGGTAGGTTCATACGAGAATGATACATATTTAAGAAAATAAATGATCAAATTATGTACAAAACCAGATGTGATTTTACATCAACGGGAAAAAAAGGGGGAGCGGGCGACTTTGGCTGCGACCGGGCAAAGTCGTGTGAATCATGTGTGATGTTAGACGTGATGTTAGTGTAAAATCACATGTGCTTAGACAATTTTCTTATATTCTTAAATATGTACCATTCATTCTTAAATAGTCGCATGAATCACATGTGATTGTACACGTGATTTTAATGTGAAATCACATGTGATTCAACCGTTGTTTTCGTATTATGTTATTTAGTTGTATGAAGCTAAGTGTATGCATATGATATTCTAATTTGTACAAAAATATGATGATTTAAATAATTCAAGAATTGACCTTCCTCCAAGTTGGGTCGGGGTGAGACAGAGAGAGAGAGAGGCTGTTTATCAAAATTTGTGGATAAGTGCTTACCGAAAATGGTTGTTTACCATATCTTTTGTATTAAGTGTTAGATGGTAATCATGATTTAGAGGAGAGTTGGTTTGTGGTTTTGGCATGGGGGATGATGATGGTGCCTTCCACCAATTTTCCCATGGTTTTTGCTTCAAGATTTGCCAATCATTTGTCTTGTGGGCCAAGTCTTTTATTCCACTTGGTAGGGGTGATTCGTGAACATAAATTCTTTAACCCATTAGCATTAGGATTAGGATTGGCGGGGCATATTTTTATTCTATTTTTTCTTCAAAACGTATAATATATATATATATATATATATATATATATACAGAGAGAGAGAGAGAGTGTGTGTGTGTTAGGATGAACGCTATCCAGATAAAAAACAGTCAAATCACATGTGATATTAGACTAAAATCGTGTGTAAAATAACATGTAATTCACGTGCATGTTCCCCACATACTTTTGCGTTGGCTGTTAGTTAGTGTAAAATCATATGTGATTTTGTACGTGATTTGGTCGTTTTCATCTTCTCATATTGGGTTATTGTTCTCGTTTGAACTTCCCTCTTTTTATTTGTTTATGTATGTATATAGGGTTGGGGTCTAATGAGAAGAAAAATTATGGTGAGAAGCGTAAGAATAAATCTCCGTTTTTGGATCAATTCTAATTGAATGTCAACACTAATGAGTAATGAGATTCACTGAGATGTATCAGATCAATTCTCTTATTAAAACACAATTCATGGTTGGACATGAGATTAAAACGATCAAGGGTTCAATGTTTTTTTCTTACGCTTATCATAATTTTTGTTCTCATACGAATTGGCTATACATATATATACTGCTAGGCCCAGAACTCTTTGTTCTTTTTTTTTTTCATGTATGATGGTAGCTTATTGGAATTGTAGCCAATCATTTAGTGTTATGACCAGTCAAGATAAAAAAAACTCACACTTTCATTATCCAAGTATTGACCTCTAGAGAGGTTATGCCCTATCAATAATTCAGATACCAGGTCGATAACCCTTTGTTTTCTTTTTCATGTATTGTAGCAGCTTGTTGGGATTATAACCAATCAATCAGTGGTAGCACTGGATCAGATTGAAAGACCTGCGATTATGGGACCTATTCTATTCCTAGTGACCAACCAATAGTGTTGTGCTTGTACTAGGAAGATGATCTAATAATTAAGGAAATTTCAATTATAATAATTACAACTTGAAATTTGTTAAGATGCTTTGTACCAATTGCATAATTGGTAAACATTTGATCTCCTTTTTTTCAAAAGATTTTTGTTTTTTGCTTCAAAAGCAATGCTTATATTCATGTGGGCATTATTGGATTCTAATTATTTCTATACATGCAACCAATGGGACTTGTACCTTGTCCTTGATGCTACCTTTAGAATTTGCAACAAAATTGGCCAATCAAATGCATTTCTACCAATTAAATAATTAATTCATTTTTATATAAATTACTTTCATTTTGATATAAACCCACAATTTTTTTTATGGTTTTTAGAAGATTAGGAAACTGTTTACCATATGTTTACTGTAAGAATTGATATCTTAATCATAAGGGTGGTGCATGATTGGTTTGAGCTGTCGAAAGTGTTTGGAGGTTTCATGTTTAAATCCAATGAGGAATAAAAATCTACTTGTGGCCACGGAGGTTGAAATGCAGTGACTACGGACTACCCGTACAACAGGTGGTTGTTTTGGGATTAGTTGACTCGTATAGCGGGTTGGATTTCCAAGTTAATCAAAAAAATAAAATAATTGATATCTTACTTACCTTATCAAGTAACTTTCTTGGCTACTACAATCAGAGGTGGACTTAAGGATTTTTTTTCAAGCGTTCACATCATTTGACTATAAAAAACAAAGTTATAGACACTTTTTTGAATATTATCATTGATTTGTTGCTTAGTTCCTTATTTTTTGTATATGAGATCTTGTTTTCGACTCTTTTGTTGCAATTTTTTCAAGAACCATAATAAACTTCAAATTAACAGTTAAAAACTAAGAAAATATTAAAACATGATTCAAATCTCCATTTAAGTTAGAAGAAAAGTCATCCAAACCAACTCTATCAACACAAACTTGTGTTATTATTTTAATTTCAAAATATGTATGATGACACTCAGCATTATAATACCATTGCATGTTTCATGAGCCTAACTTTTTTTTTTTTAACTTATAACAGATGAACGTATTGATGGCCCGTGTCATGTTATCTTTGGAACTGGGTCCACCCCTGATCAAAACCGGTTGTTGGTAATAATTTCGTACCTGGTAACTGGTAAGTATTAACCAGGTAAAAACCCCATTTACTTATAGAATAAGATTCAATTAATCTAAATTCACTTTTCAAAAGTAATAAATAACAATGAAGGGTTTCACTTCATATCAAATGAAGTCAATGGATTTTAGAAAACATTTATTAAAATTATTTAATATTTGGAAATAATTATGGACACCATTCAATTTTGTCAACCCCTTTATGGATCTTTTGGTTACTATTAATTTTAAATATTTTAATAATGTAAATAACCAAATTAAAAATGAAGTGCTGTTAATTTATTATTGTTTTTTTTTATAATTAATAGTCAACTTAAAAAATATAGAGAGAGAATTAGTCGCACCTAAAACCCGTCTCAAACGACGCCGTTTTTGTCTTTCAAACAGGAAATTCTTAGTACAATGTTTTTTTTGACAAAAAAAAATGGAATTAATCCACACGTCAAGAATAATTGAAGTGTAAATTGTGGTTCTGGTCCCTGAAGTATCTGAAAATCCAAAATTAGTCCTCTAAGTTCAACAAATAATAATTTTCCACTTGGATATTTTTGGGAATACGTTGCCACTTTATTTCAAGTGGGAAGTAAATGGTTGCTTGACAATTGTTGAATGATTTGGTATAGAATTATTAAGTGATCATAATGATTAAGAGAGACTCTCATGATGATAGTGCAAAATGCAATATAATTGTTTGATAATTGCTTACGATGAAATTAGGGCGCTAAATGGTTAGGCCATGATACAAAATCGTTCAGAGGATTTTAGAACCATTAAAATACAGATTTTTTTTGTCAAACAAGATTCATCTCTTAACAATTTAAAGACTGTCTTTTAATATAACTATTAAGAGGTACACAAATAACCTTAGATAAAATTTATTTATTTTCTTCTAAACATGAATATTTCGAAATGAGTGTCTGTTATATCGATCCACAATGAGAAGAGGGGTGTGTACCTATAGCAAGAAGAGGATGAAACCATAGATTTCTGTTGTGTCTTGCATGTTACCGGGTACTTAAATATTTAAAACTTTACATCTTAGACATCAAAATAGAAGTTTTTAAAGTACGTTATCCAAAATAAGAATCAAGTTAAATTATGTTATCTTTTTATGCAATTTGCCCTATAATTTACACAAAATAAATATTTATTTTATATTTTCAAAAAATTAAAGATACAACAAAATTACTGTATTTTTTTGTAATCTCAAACAAGGCCCTATATAAATCCAAATAAAATATTTTAATGCTTATTTAAATTCAATGTGAATTAAATTAGTGAAAACATTTTTGGAAAAATTAAGGATCCCACAAAACAATTTTAATTTGTTGTCATTTAGCAAATTATAATAGACATCTAAATTGACATATGATAACAACATATAACGTTTGTTTTTAAGAGGTGCTAAAGTCTGAAATATTCTTTCATTTCTGATTTATAGGAGGTGGTCCTAAAATCTAAATCAAAAAACTATTTGTTTTTGTAAATTGATAATTGTTTGAAATTGTTTATTTTACCCATTAAAAAAATTATAGTGTTGAATTTATAGATAAATTTATACAAAGTTCACATATTTATTCATCATTATTACGAAATTTATATCTAAATTATATAATTAACATCAATTTAAACGCAAATATGTCATTAACGATATTTGACACATTCAAATCATAGTAAATTACATCAATTGAGAGAGATGATTGATTAAGGTTAATCAATTGAGAAACGTTGTTATTAAATATTTGAAGAAATAATAAGAGAAAAATAAGATGTTAGTTTACCTTTTACCAGATAAAAAGATAATAAAACATAAATGTCTCTGAAAAATTAAAAAAATTAATGAATCAAATATAAGAAGCCGATAAGAACTTTTTTATAATAAAAAAAAAACAAACAAAACCTGTAGTTTTAAAAAAAAAAATTATAAAAACAAACACCACAAGGACCAAAATTGCAAATAATCCTAATAAAATGACCAAAAACAGAAAATGGGAGTCAAGAAACAACAACAAAGGAAAAGTCGGAAGCTGTCATGTAAGAGAGAGAAAGAGAAAGAGAAAGAGAAATAAAAAAGGAAAGAAAGTAAAAGAATGATTCGAAGGGCGGCTTGGTCTCTCAAATTTGGTGGGTTTCAACTCCTTTCTTCCCCAATTTTCTTTCGCTGAAATCCCTAATTTTTGATTTTGGGTTTCTTCTTCATTATCCAAACACCATTCAGATTCCCCTTTCTCTTTTTACTTATTCCCTTTCAAGAGTTTGTTAAAAGAAAGTGTGAAAGAAAGTAAAGCAAGAGTCTTGTGGTGGGTTAAGCTCTACTTTATATCCATCTGTCCAGCTCACAGGAGATAAAAGGGAAGCTATTTTATATATATATATATATATATATATATATAAAACTAGGGTTTTTTTTTGAGAGATTTCTGCATTATCTTTACTTCCAAGTTCCAAGATTGTTGAACTCCAAGCGGGGTTTTCTTCTTCTTCTTCTTCTTCTTCTTCTTCTTCAGTTTTTGGTGTTAAAATCAAAGATCAGAATCTTTTAGCTATTGGGGTTTTGATCCATACCTAAAAAGGGTAAAACCTGATGTGGGAGATTTTGAAAAAAGGGGCATTGGTGGTGTTTGGGGGAGTTTGTTTGGGTTTGATTGAGATTAGTGGATTTCTGATGTACAGTTCAGATTTCTTTTTGTGTATCTGGTGTTTCTTATCATAGGATTTGGAAAAGGGGTTTGCTTTGATTCTTCTTTTAGAGCAGTTTTTATGATGGGTTTGTTGGTTTCTTGAAGGATAACCTCCAAACAAGCTTTTGTTCATCAGTTTCAGTTTGGATGATTGTTCTCAGGGTTCCAATTTGAGTTGGGTTTTTTAGGGTTTGTATAATTTGTTATTGGGTTCTAAGAAATCTAAGATATGATCAAGCAGATACTTAGTAAGGTTTCCAGGAAACAGTCCAAATCATCAAAAAATCAAGAATCTTCAGGCAATTTAACCCCTAATCTATCATCATCTACTTCAAAGAGAAGTGATGTTGGAAGTGGGAATTCAAGAAAGCTTGTGAATGCCGATATTTCTTCCCCTTATTCGGTCTCGTCAAATCCTAGATTCAATCAGAGCGAAAAGAGTTTTCGCAATGGTGTTACTGTAAATGCTTCTTACGAAGCTTTACCGGGCTTTAGAGATGTCCCGAGTAGCGAAAAGCAGAATTTGTTCATAAAGAAGGTGAACATGTGTTGTATGATCTTTGATTTCACTGACCCAACAAAAACCCTCAAAGAAAAAGAGATAAAGCGACAAACTCTATTAGAATTAGTCGATTTCGTGGCTTCTAGCAATGTTAAGTTCACAGAATCGGTTATGCAAGAGTTTGTCAAGATGGTTTCTGCTAATTTGTTTAGAGAACTCACTCCTCAACCCCGCGATTGCAAAATCTTGGAATCTTATGATTTGGAAGAGGAAGAACCGTCGATGGATCCATCTTGGCCCCATTTGCAGATCGTCTACGAGCTTCTTCTCAGGTTTATCGCATCCCCAGAAGCAGACGCGAAAATAGCAAAAAAGTACATTGATCATTACTTTGTTCTCAAGTTGTTAGATATGTTTGATTCCGAAGATCCAAGAGAACGCGAGTACTTAAAGACTATACTTCACAGAGTTTATGGTAAATTTATGGTCCATCGGCCGTTCATTAGGAAATCTATCAACAATATCTTTTACAGATTTGTTCTTGAGACCGAAAAGCATAATGGGATTGCGGAACTTTTGGAGATTTTAGGAAGTATCATCAACGGATTTGCTTTGCCTTTGAAGGAAGAACACAAATTGTTCCTCTCTAGGGCTTTGATCCCATTGCACAAACCGAAATGTTTAGCAATGTATCATCAGCAATTATCGTATTGTATCACGCAGTTTGTTGAAAAAGATTGCAAGCTAGCCGATATGGTAATAAGAGGGTTATTGAAATATTGGCCGGTTACAAATAGTTCGAAAGAGATCATGTTTTTAGGGGAGTTGGAGGAGGTTCTTGAAGCAACACAACAACCGGAGTTTCATCGTTGTATGGTGCCTTTATTTAAGCAAATCTCCCGTTGCTTGAACAGTTTGCACTTTCAGGTAATTTATCGTTCTTTTGAGTATCTTTTTGTCAAATTTGCAGTAGTTTTTCAATTGTGTGCCATCTAAGATGTTTGTGTTCTTCATTTTGTTTCTCTAGATTGGTCATTTCAATTTTTTTGGATTCCTGGTACACTTGTGCAGATCAATTGACAAGTAATAAATAAAACAAACTATAAAAGTTCATACCATATAATGAAAACCGCAAAAAAAATCAAAAACCAAGGAACACATTGGTAATCGTTCATCAGGACGGTATGCACATGTGCATACAAGTAACTTGTAAGCAATTTGCCCGGGTATGTACATGGTGCATAAAAACCAAAAAACAACTTCAATTCCTCCGTCCAGATGAATGATTACCTGGGTGTTCCTCAATTATTCATTTTTTTAGGGATAAAGGTTAAAACATGCATAATTAAACTCAAATTAGGCTCTATATGTTGAGAGTCGCCGCCTTGTACAAACCCAGTAATTCATACAAACTTAAAAACCAACATGTGTGAAGATACAATGTTTATACAATGTTCTTTCATATGTGAAGTGTTCAAGACTATATTTTTTCCACACACAAAACAGTCCTGACCGTTTCACATATGAAACAACACCGTATAAACTATGCATTCTCACACATGTTGCTTCATATGTGAAACAACACATAAAAACTGGTTTGTAAGTTTGTATGGTTTATTGGGTTTGTAAATGATTATGCTGTCATACATGGTAAGGGCTTGAAAACCTATTTCAGGCGAATATCACCATAGGAGACATTCTTTGAGGACTCTCTAAATCGTGAGATCTTTGAGAACTAGTGCATCATGTGCTATTTCATATATTTTTTTTCACCACTGGCTAGAATTAAATGCAAGTGATTAACATATATCTGTTTCACATTTACTCGGTTCACAATGTGAACCTTTTTTGGCATTTTTTATGAAACAAAAAGTAAACGTAGAAGAGTTTCAGATTGTGAACAGAATACATATGAAACCATCACATTGTGAAACAAAATATATGTCAATCAATACATTAAATACTATACTTAGATGAAAACAACCATGTTTGTGGGATTTCTCGGGATTTCAAATCCAAGAATTCTTCAAACCAAACATGGGATTACAATGGAATTGAATTCCAAATCCCTCTAAATCTTATCCAATGCTACAAACCAAACGGGACCTTAGTATTTACATTAGGTTTGAAATTATGTTGCAAATACTTGTTTCCAGTGACATATCAAGAAATCTTGAAATTTTGGTTCTTCTTATTGAAGGGATCTATCGACATAGATAACTGTCTACACTTGGTATTTCCATCAAGTTTTTTTGAATTATTTTGCGCATACTTGTTTCCAGTGGCATGTTTAAGATATCAAGAAATCTTGAAATTTTGGTTTTCTGTATAGAAGGGATCCAGAGACATAAAGACTGATGCTTGTTTCCATTGGCATATTTAAGACATCAAGAAATCTTGAATCTGGTTCCTTTGGTAGTTTGCTTCATATATTGCATTAGGAAGTAAAGGGGAATGAGAAGTAGGATTAGCTTTTGAAATCCATGGCTTGTTCATTCAGATCATTTGATCTTTTACTTCGAAGGTCCCATTAGATGGTTCGAGAATGAATAGAAATGTGAATGTGGGTCACGTTTGCTTTACGTTAGGTCAAATGGAGATGAGACTCGCAAAGTGAAGAGCAGAGGAAAATGGTGTAAAACTTGTTTTCGTTTTTACCATTTTCTTCTCTTTGTGGGTCCTATCTTTATTTTTCTTAACATAAAGAAAACGGGACCCACAATCGTATTTCCACATTTTCTCGTTCCATATGGGACCCACAAAACGAAAAAAAATACAAAATGGCCTAAATGAGTAGATCCTTCATAAACTGGTGTAGTTTCACACTTCACAAATCCTACCTTATTTACGCTTTGTTACAAGAACATGGGAATACCGACATGAGATTGAAATTTCGTCAACTCTTGGTGTCAAAGGTTATAGATTTATAGCGGTGATCTCCTCATTTGCCACGATGAACATCTTGAGGGGTAGATTCGGTATTTCTTAGCAATCTTGATAAAGAACATTTTGAAGGGTAGATTCGGTATTTCTTGGCAATCATGATAGAGAACATCTTGAAGGGTGGTTCTTTATCAAATTGTTCTATTCCTCCTTGAAAAAAGCTCGAAACTTTTTCATTGACGTTGTCGTGTTGAAGGGTATATTTGGTATTTCCTTGGTAATCATGTTCGAATCCGTCTGCAAATACCAGTTTCAAACTGATTCAAGATTTCTTGAATCTGCCCTCAAGTTACTGAGTACTTGATTTTCTTTTTTTCTACTTTTCAGGTGGCAGAAAGGGTTCTATTTTTCTGGAACAACGATCACATCGAGAGTTTGATAAGACAAAACCGCAAGGTAATACTACCCATAATCTTTCCAGCACTCGAAAGAAACGGGCGATACCATTGGAATCAAGCTGTGCATAGTTTGACTTTAAACGTTCGGAAAATCTTCTTCGATCTCGATCCCGAGCTGTTCAACGAGTGTTTGCTCAACTTCCAAGAAGACGAAGCGAAGGAAGAGAAGATGAAATCGAGACGCGAAGCCACGTGGAAACGGTTAGAAGAAATAGGTGCAGATACAGCTTCAAGTAATGAAGCTGTTCTTGTGCATTAGGGATTGAATCCTTGTAATCCCATTTGGAAGAAAAAAAGCTACAAATTTCTTGTAAATTTCAGTTGTTTTGATGGTGTTGTAGGACAACAATGTGTCAACTTTAGTTTCATAAACTAGCTAAAGCAATGCATTTTGAGCAAGTTTTCTTGCTCTTATATTGTTTGGGCAAATTGCATGAAAAACTAACGCACTTTAACTTGATTCCTACTTTCAAAACTTCTATTTTGGTACATAAAGACGTAATGTTTTAAACATTCAAATACCCGGGTGATTGGTTGAGTCGTTAATCGGTTATCATGCTGATATGACGAGTGATGTAGTATCCAATTTAATATTATTTGTTGACGTGGTTAGTGATATGAATTTTTTTTAAATCTAAAATCAGTCTTTTTTTAATCTAAAATTAGTGTTCAATCGGTTACCCGAGTACTTAAATATTTAAAATTTTACATCTTAGGTATCAAGATAGAAATTTTGAAAGTACATTACTCCAAATAAGAATCAAGTTAAAATACGTTATTTTGCATGCAATTTGTCCATATTGTTTTCCACAAGTTTTTTGAGCTGCAAAAAATGTTCAAAGTAGAGGTTTCCTGTTTGGGTGTGTGTATGCATCCCTGTTTATGTCAGAATCAGATTAAATTATACATTGGAAAGGTAAAAAGTAAGTCTTAATGTTGATTTTGTATGAGAATATTTGTAGGTAGGGCTAAATGCGGTAATGCACCCCTATATATATATTATTAAATGCATTCTTATAGCATTTCCAACAGTTATGCTATAATAGAAATTTTGGTAAATTAGAAGAGTTTTATGCTCCATCAGTTATACTTTATTATATGGTAAAATAGAAAAAATAAGAGAGACATGAAAATTTCTAAATTTAGAAAAATCTCTAAAACTTTATATAAGAAAGAGAAATATCAATAAAAGGTATTAAAAATAAATGTCTAACAGTTAGAAATAATATTTTAATAATAATATAGTCAATGTTAAAATTGCTAAAAGAGAGCAGCTGTTGGAGTTGAATATAATTTTTATAGAGATTTTGGCTTTTGCTGCTCTATTTTGGAAAAAAAATATATAGCATAGTTGTTGGAGATGCTCTTACCTATTAATTTCCTTCTCACATACATCAACATCAAAATATAAATTTTATACATTTTCAATGCATGAATTGACTTGATTCTGACATAGAAGTGATGTATATAACATCACCCTTAGGAATATATAGGGGTGTATTTAGCTTACCTCATACTGGTTACCTGTTATTGATTGGTGTTGATTCGGTTGGCGTTACTTACAGAGGTTTTTGTGTTGCTTGGTCAGTATTAGCTAGTTTATCTAAAGATTGATCTGGTTGATGGTATTGACTAGGCCCTTACTCGATCTGTATTATTATCTCATTTACCGGACATGCACAAGGTGATAAGGTATTTTGTAAGTAATTATTTACTACAAAGACACTTGGTAAACAACCATCTTTATTTTATACTATATCATAACACGTCACTTAATCATTCTGATCACTTTATCATTCAACATCAAATCATTCAGCAATTAACAAACAACCGCTTATAATTATTTTTCTTCCATTTTTTTTCATTTTTCATTTAAATATTTTTTAGAACCCGAGTATTTTATTTAATTACATTTGGTTTAGAGAACACAGCGTGGAAGTACAAGTTGGGCTCGTGATCCTGCCACGTGTACGGTGGATACATTACTTGTGTGTGTGTATATATTCATTGTGGTTCTCAACTAATTGTGGATAAGAATCGTTTGCGTGTGAAGATAGCTCTAACAACAACAATGGAGGTATGTATGTCTCTGAAACGACACGCACTGGTTCCAACGCCTTCCATCAACTCCAAGAATTTAAGAACAATAGATGATTCACACTTAATCAGACACTCGTTTTCTTCATCGCAAATTCAACGCAAGCAGCAATTAAATCATGGAAAGAGATTAATGGTGGTTGAAGCTAAAGGGAAAAGAGGAATGCAAGCTCGTCAGTTCCAACGCCCAATGCCTGCTATGCCCAAAATTGAAGACGATGGAAACCCTAGATTCGTTATCTTCATTCGTATGGCCAATGTTGGTATCTTCCCTTACTCCAATTCTTTGCTGTTGATTAGTAATTAGTAAATTCAATTGGAGCTCATTTATGTCAAAATCCTGAACTAGGTCTTTACTTTAATCTCGTAGCCATTAAATTGGAGCTTTTGGTACCCATATTCTAATGATTTAGCTAACATTAACTTTGTATCGAATTTTGAAATTTTGATTGGAAGCAAAGTTAAAGAAGTTCATTAAACGAGTGATATTGTCCAAATCATTGTACATGGAGTTCATTTCCAAACAACTAGCATGCATGTGAAAATCCCCAAATAGAAGACACTCTGGTTGATAGAAATCTAGAAGATACTGAACACGACACTGGCAACTCAGAGTGTTTTGGCCAACTTTGGTGAATATTGTACAATTTTTTGTCAACTTCGTGTTCTTTTTCTCTTTCTTCTTGACATTTTTGCCAACATGTTGATTGTTTGCAAATGAAATGTGAAGTATAATAGTTGATAATGCTAACTATTCTGTATTAAATAGGTCTTGGAGTTTCCTTGTAAGAAAACTTGACTATAGGTTGCATGATTACACGATTTTGCTTGTATATGACGGTCTACTTTCCTAAATTAGAGTCCACATTAGACTTTTGGTATATAAATCTAAGATTTTTCATGTTCGAAGTGGATATGACCTACTTTTAATGATCAACACCACTTTGGGATCTGTGGTACTTTTCTTGTATGTTAACTTGGTGTAACCAAGTTTCTAAAACTAGTGGTTTTGGGTTCAAAAACCCGATACCAATAGGGTCTGTATAAGTGTATTCCTTTGTTTATCCTTGTGATCTGATAAACGAACTTAGAATTGTTTTCCTTTAAGTAATTGTTAAATCAATACAGTTTTGAAGTTAAAATGTTGGCCTTTTTGTGCAACCCATCTCACATGGATAGAAAATAGATTTTTGATCTCCTTGTAAGCTCAAAGTTGTGGGCTACCAACAACTTCCACTATGGTTGTAAGTTGAACTCGAAGTTATTGGATCAGCTTGTTGCATTGGGCTTGGGGTGTTACAGTTTTGCTATTTAAGCAGTCTAACATTGACAAATTTGGGGACTGATGTAATCAGAAAGGGTCAAAAGAGTCGTCTTTCAATCCAAAATGGAAATGATTTCTTTCTTACTTGAAGATCAAAGTAATTCATGTTGGCAGGTTGTTTCAAATGTTGGGATATTGTAGCTTTGTTTCCCTTTATGCCCAAATACAGTATCTATGTGAATTTGGATCCTGTAAGTGGCATGTTTGACCACAAAAGTCAAAACAAGTTTCTCTTTTATGATGGAAGAATATAATTGTTCCTCTTTCACAATTTCAGGTTTGCATAAAAATTGTTGGCATCTTAAAAAGTTTTCTTGTATTAACTATAAAATAACACTACTTAGATATTTGGATCTTTTTTATTCACCAAAAACTAAGGGGCCGTTTGGTTTTGACAGACAGTTTTTGAGGGGTTTGGATTTTGTGGAAGGATTTGGAATCTTTGGTTTGTTTGGGTTGTAGGATTTGGCATGGAATTGAATTCCATTGTTTATAGATAATTTATAAAAACAAATTATAAATAATTGAACTACCTTTTATTAATTGATCGTTACAAAACAAATGTTTTTAACATATTTTAAAACATCATTACAAACAAAATCCTATAAAATCCCATGAAATACCAACTACCCTTTATGCTTTTTAGATCCAATGTTTGTGGGATTTTAATTTTGGACTTTACTTTAAACCAAACGCGGATTGGATGCAATCCAATTCCAATTCCCATGAAATCCTGCAAAGCAAACAGGGCCTAAGATTATTTGATGATTCAAAGACCTTGAAGGATTACATCTTATGGGAGTTTATAGATATTCCATCTGATTTAGGGTCAAGAACTTTAGTATATATTGGATTCTACTGATACCCAATTTGCTTTTAACATTAGGAACATTAGTTTCCTTCTAGATTTATTATTTTCTACTGTTCTCTCCATATATTTGATGCTGCCCATGAACCACGTATATATGTTTTTGTTTTCTGTGTGATTATTTATCTTGATCTACAATAAACTTTCATTTCACCTTTGGCTTTTCACCTAAAGGGATTCTTGGTGATACTTTTACTTTATAATGTTTAAATTTTTTGAGGTTATTTGGTACGTGTGCAGGTTTATCTATGGTACCCTGTTAGTATCGTAGCAGGTGGCACGACCGCAAAGATCCTGGTTTCAGCTAAAGACAATTTTGTCGGGAAATATATTTACAAAGACACGCTATCGAAAAATATTGCTGGAGTCATTTACAAAGTAAGTTCTATATTACCAATAACTTATTTGTGAAAAATCATTTTTTTGTCAAGTTGCTTTGTGTCCCGATGAAAACTACTCACTCTTTTGAAAGTTGCAATGATTAACCGGGTGTATGGTTCAAGAAAAGGCATGACTTTTACTCTTAACCAAATGTATTATTCCATTCAATAATATCAACATGTTTAACGATGGCCATAAAAGATGTGAATCAGTGAATTTATGCGAAGTTTTCAGAGAAAGGAAATGCTGAAACTTTCATCGTGGAAAGGATATTGTTGCAATTTTCATGGGATGAAGGAAGTATAAAATTTGACTCTAAACATAGTTTAGTAAAAGTGTTCTCACATTTATAACCAAATGTCTAATATAGCCATAATCAGGATCAACCGCTTTTACTCTTTGGGTAAAGATCTAGTCTGCATGCATGAAATGTCCAACCCCCTCAGACCCCATCTCCGGTGGGACATACCGTGCTTGTTTTGTTCTAATATAGCCAAGATGGCAAATCTTGACCATAAAAATACCCTCAGGGCCTATTTGGTTTGACGGAATGTTTTTGAGGGATTTGGATTTCGTTGAAGGATATGGAATTGTGAGGATTTGGAATCTTTGGTATGTTTGGTTCGTAGGATTTGGAATAGAATTGAATTCCATTATCTATAAATAATTTATAAAAATAATTATTTACCTTTTTATTAATTGATTATTACAAAATAAACGTTTTTAACATATTTAAAAACATTATTACAAACAAATCCTATGAAATCCTGCTAAATACCAACTATCCCATGGGATTTCTGAATCCCATGTTTGTAGGATTCCATTTGAAATCCAGGATTTCAATTCCAGACTTTCCTTAAACCAAATGTGGGATTGGAATGGAGTCCAATTCCAAATCCCACAAACCAAACGGGCAGTCGGTAACTTGTAAAGGAAACAACGGGTTAATAGGTTCTTTTTTCTTGATTAATGAGACAACCCTTATGATGGATTTCGATCAGATATCCTCGTTAATGTTTATCGGAATTTTTCTACTTGTTTCTGTAATTGGAACAGGATGAGAAGGAGGTTCAAAAGACAGCAATTCGACAGCATCGTGTATTGCGTTCGGCTACAGAATTCCGATATGGCTATAAAATTGTGGTATGTTCTTGCACCCGATGTAAATAAAACAGAAAATTATAGTTATCGCTGTCAAATTATCCTCTTAGTTCACATGTGATTATGCAGGAGGGTACCAACTTAAGAGCAGCACTTGCAAGCAGTGATGTGATTGAGGTATTATTGTCTATATATTACGAAGATTTTTGAGCTTATTGAAAAGGCCCCATTTGGTTAGCCATAAGCCAGCCTTTTGAAAAGCTACTTCAAGTAGCGTTTCGACAAGCTCGAGGTTTTTTTTCCAATATGCCCCTTATATTTGCTTAATTGATTTTTCAACATGTCATTTTAGATCATTTTACATTGTCATCTATCTTGTCAACTAGTTTTTACCAAACATGACTAGTTAATGAGCTAAAAGTTAGCTTATTAATCAACAACTAGTTTGCCAATATAGCCTTTAGGGGCTGTTTACTTGCATCTTAATGAGTTTAATGATCTGGGTGGCTTAATTGCTCAGCCATACAGGAGTGTTCCTTTACGGCTTAGTCGTTAAGCCATTAAAGCCAAAATGGCTATATGGAATAGGCCACGACCCCTCAGTTGTCTCCTTTAAGCCACCTCAAACAAATAAATACCATAAATGCCCCATATCCAACCCTCTTTTTGCTTTCCTAAAATCCATCGGTCTCTTGTCTCTTAGCCATACAAATTTATTCAGACAGACGACTTAATACAACAGGACTTCATGGAAAAAAAAGGTAAACAGCCCCTTAGAGTAGTGGATCTAAGAGATTAAAGCTGAATTTTTCAGCTCCCAACAAGAGCCGAGATGAAAACGGTATTTGACAGAGTTCTAGATTTCTTCGGGGATGCCAAAGAGTCGTTTGGGAAATTGACCGATATAAAGCCAACATCCGAAACCGAGCCTGAGGAAAGTGCCAATGACAAACCCAAGTGAGTTTCTAAATTCGACTAAACTAAACCAACTTTTATAAAGCGAAAATGTATTTACCATCCGTCATCAACAGGGTCAAAAGCTGAACCTGAAGCCGGAAGACGGATATATGGATTCACCATACCAGCCTACAACCGAAATACAAGATGAGGTTTTGTACACAAAAATTTACCGCACATTTTTGCTTTAAAAATCTACATTCTATAGACCGATGCTTGCAATTTATTGTCAATAGTACATAATTTTTCGTTCCCTTCAAAATGTCGATTATCTAGTTCATACTAAGTAGCATTAGGTGAAACCCGAGGACCATCTTTCTTGAGCCCATAATTCCTGTTTTCTGTTGGGATAAGTTTTAGAGCAGTTTTTTTCCTAGTGGCCAACCCGAAAATCTCGTCTAAATCGACATCATCGGGTCCAGTCCCGGGTGGCAGTTTCCAGTCAAAGTGGTACAACAGCCTAGCCAAAGTTAGCTCGATTGTCGCCAATCCAAATGCGTAACCAGGACAACCTCGTCTCCCTCCTCCAAACGGTAAAAACCTGAAATCTTGACCTCTAAAGTCAACCTCCGTCTCAACGAACCTCTCGGGATCGTACACCATGGGATTCGGCCATGAGTTCGGGTCACGTCCTATTGCGTACGTGTTGATCAGGATTCGGGTTCTTTCGGGTATGTCGTATCCCTGAAGGGTGCATTTCTGCATCGATTCTCGTGGGACAAGAAGTGGGACTGGCGGGTGTAACCGCATAGTTTCTTTGATAACGGCTTTCAGATAACGAAAATGGTGGAGTTCGGTTTCTTCGATCTCTCCTTTGGTTTCTGCCATGTCCCTGATTTCATCTTGTGCTTTCTTCATCACTTCGGGGTGTCTTGACAGCTCTGTCATTACCCATTCTAGAGTTGCTGAAGTTGTGTCTGTTCCTGCTACAAACATGTCCTGGAGACCAATCGAACTGGTTACATTCCGTTTAACGTTCTTTTCCTCCCGGAGACTGGTCCAGATCGGGATCGGTTAGGGTGCATTTGGTATCCAGATAGGACGGAATAGTTGTTCAGCGTTTGGTAAGACAGGTCTATTCCAGCTTGTTCCATGGAGTTGGGGGTGAAACACGTCTGTTCCATATGAAAGTTCTGCCAAACGTGGAATAGTGATTTGCGTTATGTTCTATTGTGTACCAAACGCACCCTTAAGGAACGATCGGGACCAGTTGGGACCGGTGTCGGCTTTTCCTCCCGAGTTAAGGTCTGAATACATCTTACCCTCTACAGACCCTACCTCTATATGAGATTTACTGGGTTCGTTTGGTTTTTTCTTGAGACCTGTCAACTGGTTAACCAGTTTGCTCATGTATACAAACAATTTTGCATCAAAAAAAGTGTTATGTGAAAGTATGGTAGGGACCGACCCACTATGGTGCATACGGTGTGTCGTTCCTCCGACATAGTGTAAACACAATTAAGGTCGTGAAAGGTGTCACTCTGTTATTTTGGATGCTACCGTGCAACTACAATGATGACACAAGTTTGTCTTGATAAAGCTGGTTTGCACGTCCCCACCCACTCACCGTGGGTTTGAATCCCAAGGTATGCTAAAACTAACAAACAAGCTGATGATTATTTTGTAAAAAATGTCCATAGCTTTGTTTTTACAGTCGAAGTCGAACGGTGTGGATCTGCCTATGAAGTAGAGTTGTTCATGGACGGAATGACCCACTAGACCCTTCCTATCTGGCTCACTAGAAAAGCGAGATTAAATTGCCATCCTGAAATAAATTGGCGGGTCCAAGCTGACTTGCTAAAATTAATGGGCGGATACGAGCAATCGAAAAAATTGGGAGGCTCGCCCAACCCATTAATATTTATAATAATAATAATTAACTTTTATAATTAAAATTAAAAATTCTTGATGCTTATCGATTCACATTTAATCGTGAACCATGATAATGACATTATCTGGAAATTTAAAAAGTAAAAACAAAATTACATTGGTCAATTTTTCATTCTCATGTTGATATTTCATATTTTGCGGATTTTTTTTCTTCAAAATCATGCATATTTTGAATTATTATACATAATTTGTGATTTTATATAAGTTTTGTTTTCTTAAAAATATAAAAAGATTTTTAGGCTCGTTAGTCCATGGGCAAACCCGGCCTCGAAAAATAGGTTTTCGGCCTGGATTCGTCCCAAGCCTGCAAATGATCGGCTCTACTTTGAAGTAAGGTGAAACAAAGGAACCCGAAAACCACCAACCGCATTGAACAGTGATTAGGCGATTCTTTGAGTATCGATCATTGTATTTGCTAAAATACGAGAAGAGAAGAGAAAAGAGTAAAGTATGAGATGAAAATAGTACCAAAACAAGAGCTTTAAGATTGTCATCGGTGATCGGGACCTCGAGATCGTGTTGTCTTTGAACACGAAGCAAAACGTCGACAAAATCTTCTTTTCTGGCATCGCCATCGCCGGAGGTCGATTCTTTTCTCGTCTTCATATGCTCATTTATTATATCGTCACAAACCTCCCTTAATTCTTTCAAATTCTTCATCAACCTCCTCCTCATCCCACTCACCGAGTTAACCCACTCCCACTCGGGGAAAAAATCACCTATACAAAACCCAGCTAGCAACGCTTGAGTTTCGCTCAAAATACGATTCAAATCTTTCTCCTCGTTCCCGCGTGACTGCTCTTGAAGAAACCGTTTCCCGAAAGCAACCCGACAAAGCATGTCATTGGCTAAATGAAAAAACAATGCACTAATGTCAACCTCGAGTCCGGACCGAGTCGACACAACATGAAGCAAGGGAGTCACTTCCTCGTCTCTAATGACTTCGAATGAGTTCACTCGTTTCGGACTCAGTAACTCGGTAACACAAATTTTTCGAGCTTGGCGCCAATACGGTCCGTACTTAGAAAACGTGACATCCGAACATCCAAACGATAAGTACTGAGCCGCAACGAGTTGCGGTCGGTTCGAGAAGACATGATCATGAGCCTTGAGGACGAGCTCGGCAGGTTGGGCTGCCGACACGACAACCGTCGGGACTTGGCCGAGTTGAAGGTAAAAGATGGGGCCAAATTGGTCAGCAAGGCGGGAAAAGGCTCGGTGGGGCATGTTGGTGAGGAGGTGGAGGTGGCCAATGATGGGGAGTTTGGGCGGAGATGGTGGCAGGTGAGTCGCCGGAATTGACGTTTTCCGGCGGTGGAGCAAGTAGATAAGGGTGGCAATGGACATGAGAACCACCGTAAGGGTAAAATTGTCCATCTCTGGTTATTATGGATAAGAAGATATCGGTAAACGGTTTTTTATAGAAATATTGGGATACTACAAAGGGTTGGTTGTTGGCCCCGCAATTAATGCGTTATTTACGCATGTTTCTTTTAACAACTCTATAAATTATCTATCGAGGTATTTTTGTCCTTTTTGTGCATTGTAATTGTATTTTTTAAGGTGGTGTTTGATATGCAGACATATGTAATAACCAGAGACATGATAAGATTAGATGGGACATATCTGGACAGGACAAGAAGGTAGAATTAGACGAGACTGGACAAATAAGTGTATGTTTGGTGTTTGGTACGACTAGGACTGGACGGGACAAAACTAGACAAAATACACCTAAAAGTTATTTGATTATTTTAAATATTATATAATAGTTATGATTAACACAAATAAAGTAAATCATTAAAAAACTAATTTATAAGTATTTTTACACAATTTTCATATAAATGAATACATATATATAAATAAATATATATATATATATATATACCAAATTTGATATAATTGATGGTATTTATTGGTTATGGTGGTGCTGGTGGCCGATGGTGGTTATGGAGGTAGAGGAGGTGGTGGTTGGTGGATGACAGTGGTTATAGAGGATATGAAGATGGTGGATTGTGGTGGTGGCGGTTGACAACGTTGGAGGATGTAGTTGTGGCTGATGTAGTGAAGATAGTGATAGTAGTGGTGGTGGTCGACTATGGTAGAGGTGGCGATGGACGATGGTGGATGGTGGTGGTCGACTATGGTAGAGGTGGCGATGGACGATGGTGGATGGTGGTTGTGGAGGCGGTGAAAGATGATATTGTAGTGGAAGAGGAGGTGGAGGTGGCCGCAGGTGGTGGTGGTGGTGGCGGCGGCGGCCGAAACTAGCAGTGATGACCATTAAAACAAATATCATATTAAGGTTATATATCAAACTATGATAGATTAGTAATATTTTTAGAATGTGTCATTTTTGTCCCATCTTGTTCCACCTATTTTGGTGGAATAAGAAAAAAAAAACCTCTTGTGTCTCATGTTGTCCCATCTTGTCCCAGTTTTTGTCCATATCCATGTCTCATGTCACGCCAAACGTGAGACAGTGAGTTCTTGCTTTGTCTCATCTTGCGCCGAACATGGGACAATGAGTTTCGTCCCGTCCCATGTACCAAATGCAGCCTTAAGGGCAAATTGTATAAAAAAGTAACATACTATAATTTTATTCCTATTTTAGGTATGTACTTTCAAAACTTCTATTTTGGTACTTAAGAATTAAAGCCTTAAATGTTTAAGTACCCGGATAATCGGTTGAAGACTAATTTTAGATTTAAAAAATCCATGTCTCTCACCATGTCAGCAAATAATACTGAGTTTGGATACCACATCACTCGTCACATCGGTATGATAACCGGTTAATGTTTCAACGGTTACTTGAGTACTTAAAAGTTTAAAACTTTATATCTTAGGTACCAAAATGGAAGTTTTGAAAGTACGATATATAAAATAAGATAAAGTTAAAATACGTTACATTTTCATGCAATTTGCCATTTTTTTAATTATCTCAGTCACTTAGTTACAATTTTTCTAATATTATTTTCCAAAAATAGTCGAATTTATGTTTTAAAAATAAATCACAATTCTTTCTGATATTACTCTTCATTTAATTCATTTATAATTTCCAATTTAACCATATTTGACGTCAATTGATGACATCATTGTCCAAGTTTTAAATAATAGTTTGTAGTAAGTAATCTGTTTTACGTATAAAGAAATACCTTAAGAAAAGAAAGTTACACGCATTAAAAACGACAACGTTTGGTTGGTTTGCGAATCACTGGAAAGAAAGAAACAATGCTAGTTATCGGTAGACGGTCAATTTATTCAAATTAAATATTTGTTAGATCAGTTCTATCTATTAAATGTTAATATTCAGTATTTGTTGGTGTGTTTTTTTAGTATATTTTTATTTTATGTGTTAGTGTTTCCTTTTTCATTTGAAGTTGTTGAGGACAAAAGTTTGTGTTTTGATTAGTGTGTGTGCCGTTTTTGGAGTTGTGCGTCTTTGTGGCAAGTTACCGCTGTGGTAGGTAGCTGTCGAAAATCTTTATTGACGATTTATCGTCAAAACTAGGAAAGACGATGCGGGTTTTCAAGCTTGATTAAAGTTGGAAATTTCATGAAAATGAAGTGAAAGGAGACAAGGAATATGTGATTAACTTGGATAAGTATACAACCGCGGCTTGAGTAACATTCCCTGTCCCCGGCTCCGGTTTGAGTCTACCCCAGGACCCGTTTTAGCGGGGAATCTCCGTCCCCATTCGGGTCGGGTGAACCGGGTTCCCTGGCGGGTCAAGGCAAATCACCGTCCCCAAGCTGATCACTTGCAATTGTTAATACTATATTTTTGACTCAGAGATGGGTGAAATTCGAAATACGACTCGAATGATGCAAAAAGAGTTGAAAAATCTTCAATAATCACATAGACAGATGAGTTTTTGCACAATGGCACTAAAGTTCAGATATCGATCGAGTTGATGTGTCATAGAGATATGTACATCTCTCCATACTAGCAGAACTAAGATCTTAGATTGATCCATGTAAATATAACATATTTGTATGTATATAAATGGATGATAATTAGATTGATCAGTTCGATTATATTAAATTCTGGTGTATCATCCGGTCCACTTCGAATGTCGAAATCTTGAATTTCTATCTGATTTGCATAATGCAGTACAATACGTCTCTTTAGATTGATTGGATATTTTCTTTAGATTTAAATTTGTTAATATTATTAAAGTAGATTAACAATTTATGTAGGGGTTTTTAGCAATGTTTTCTTTATAAAGATTTGTAATGGAATTTAAGAAAAAATAAGGGTCGTACACTGGTCTAGGCCAAAGAACCAAACTGAACCCGTTAACAACTAGTCGAACCTTTCAAAGATCAGGTTGTATATTTTTTGCACTAAGGAGTAAAGACCCGCACAAAAATCAATTAAAGACCGATCACAGTCTTTCTTTAAATCACGACAAAAAAAACAGTTAAATTGTTTTCATTCAAAATTACATATTATGAATAGACTCGAAAATGATACTCAAAAAACGTTTTAAAAAGTGAATGTCGTGTCATCTGATTTTTTTTTATTAACCTGGATATCCAATTTGTTATATGAACCGACTAATCACTCACAGATGACAGAACAGCCACATGTTTTGTGGGTAGCCCAGAGTCACCACATTTGAACCTCTGTGGCCACAAAGAGGATTTATATTTCTCCTTGGATTTGAACCTGTAACCTCCATGAATTTTTAATTTTTAGAGGTCAAACTCAAACGAATCAAATACCACCCTTCTAGTTATGAAAAATATTTTTTTTTTGTAAGGGTGTCCGGGACAAAGCCCGACTAATCCCCGGCAATTTTGGAGGCTAAACATGGCCCCACTTAAATGTCGTCAACACTCCCCTCCCAGGGCTCGAACTCGGGTTCATGACTATGCCATGCCCAAGCCTTACCACTAGGCTGGAAGGTTCTTGACAGTTATGAAAAATATTGATACAAAAGTTTGTATATTTTATAGATATATGATCTTTTATAACAATGAACATATAAACCATGTTATGTACAGAGACACATTACTTAAAACTAGAGTTGTTCATGGCTGGACGATACGGTAGATATGGCCCGCTAGAAATACCGGCTTGGACAACCATCATCGAGAAAATGGACGGGCCCATGTTTGTTCGTTAAAATTAACGGGTGGACATGTGCAATGTGAAAATATATATGGGCAGGCCCGCCCAACCCGTTTATATTTTATAATTAATATTTTTACCATTAATTAAAATTATACTAGTATATTTTAAAATTAAATTATTAAAGTTATAAGATAAGACTCTTTGGTTATTCTTGAGAACCCAAAACACTAAGGGTTGTTTGTTTACCTCTTAACGTGAATATTAATGTTATACATAAAAAATAGGAATGCATTATTGATTTTATGGATATCTAAATTTTGTTTTTCATTTCTTTCTCCATTTGTTGAGATCCATGTCATTTTAGTTGCTTAAAAATTTTAATTGCAACAGTGTTTTTTCTTTATTATTTGATTTCACATTTGTTAATTAATTGCTAGTGATCAAGTTTATAAAGTTATAAGAGTTACACTTTATAGGCCCGTTAACCTGTAGACAAGCTCGGCCTATTTATAAAACGGATAATGACAAGTTGTCAAGCCCGAAAAAAGGGTTTGGGTTTACAATATTAGATCCGTTGAACAAAAAAAAAAAAAACAAGTTAAACGAGACCTGCAAATGATCACCTCTACTTTAAACATTTATAATTTTTACAATTTTCTTTTTTAACATCCAAAATAATTCCACTATCAAAAAGTATATATAAAACTGAATAAACTAGAGTGGATTTGTACCATGCGCGGCCTAATTGTTTTGTTTTTTTCAATAATATTTTTAAATAAAAAAAATCAAATAAAGGAATATTGGCATAAAAAATTGCAAACCCTAAAGAAAAATAAATAAAAGGTTTGCTCCCCATTCATGAAACTTGACAACTACAAGGGGACCTACCAATTATGGAATATATCCAATATAATTTATTAATTAATATATATATATATATATATATATATATATATATATATATATATATATATACAGGTGTGGGGCGGGGCGAGGAGTTAGATACCCGTTTCCGTCCCCATCTCCGTTTTAGCAAAACGGAGATCCTCCTCCTGTCTCTGAGACCCGGTTTAACGGGGAATCCATGTCCCCGATTGAGGTGGATGGTCTGTCTGATTGAAATCTCAAGTCTTGTGACATTAAGGGGGTGTTTGGGATTGCTTATTTAAAACAACTTATGTTTTTTTTGTAAAAGTGCTTATTAACTTATGTGGTATCAAACCAGAGTTAAATAAAAACAAGGTTAAAATTGTAAACGGGTAATAAGCAGTTTTTCATAAGTCATGAATGATTAACTTATCAAAAACAACTTATTACCGGTTTGGCACCGGTATAAGCAGTTTTTTTTTCCTTATCCAAACACCAGAAAACAAATTATCAGCGGTGCCAGACTGAAATAAGTTAAAAAACAGCTTTTATAAGCAATCCCAAACACCCCCTAAATTTATTCTTTACATGCTTTTATTAAAATAAGTTTGTGGGTCCCTTCATAATCATAAGTAAAACCATGAAATTCATGTCTCTTGCATTTCTTGAATACTTTTTAAGACAATAATGATTATCATTATCAAAAGATAATGAATCTTTAGTGATAAAGTTTGGTGCTTTCTTACTCAATCATGAGTTGTGATAGTTGGCAGAATCTTTGCTTTCAAATTAGTATGCAAATGACACAAGTTTCAATTCCCATTTCGCTCATCTTCATATAATGTGTATATATAATATATAGATATAGATATAGATATATGTATATATATATATATATATATATATATATATATATATACATATACTATTTGTAGTTTCTTGATGCACTCAAGATGGGAAGGCAACCATGTTGTGAGAAGAATGGATTAAGAAGAGGACCATGGACCATTGATGAGGATCATAAGCTCATGACCTTCATCCTCAACAATGGCATTCAGTGTTGGAGACTTGTTCCAAAGCTTGCAGGTTCGTTGTTCGTTTTGGTTCTTTCAAGAAATCTTGAATGGATTGGGACTAGTTTCTTTTATATATGTATGTGTGTGTGTGTGTGTGTTGCAGGATTGATGAGATGTGGAAAGAGTTGTAGACTCAGATGGATTAATTATTTGAGGCCAGATCTCAAAAGAGGTGCTTTTACAGAAGCTGAAGAAGATATGATCATTCAACTTCATTCTCGTCTTGGTAATAGGTAAGCCTTACGAATGGTGCTTGTATCTTGGACATGTAGAATAAGGGGTTGTTTACTAATTGATGACCACCTCTTAGTGGGTAAGAGACACTTACTCAATAAGAGGTGAGTTTGTTTGCCATACACTTACACCAACAAATGATGTTGACTCGATAAAGAAGGAAAAAACCGCTTACCTTAGTCTACATTTACCCTCATATTGTACTCTTACCTGAATAGAATTATCTTAATTGTGTTGGTAAACAACCCAAATTATTATCAGGAGCGGAGATAGCCTTGGCCCAACATCAAACTAGACCCAACACTCACCATTATATATATATATATATATATATATATATATATATA